GCATATATTAGGAAAAAACTGTGTATAAATGCTTGGGTTAGGAATAATAATAAAAATAATATCCTTTATTTATATTCCGCCCTTCTCCCTTAGGGGGCTCAGAGCAAATTACAGCATTTTACATATATAGGCAAACATTCAATGCCTTAACAATTAAATACAATGAGATACACAAACACAAACAAAGGCAGAAGTTTCTCCTTTCCATTTCTGGCTTCTGGAGGTGGCGCTCATCTCTGGCTCTGGGAGGGGCTGTCCTCCATTTTCAAGCTGAGGAGCCTGCGTTGTTATCTTCCTGATTGCATGGCCACCAGGATTGCTTGGAGTGTCTCTTTGCCTTTTCCCACTGAAGTAGTACCTATTTATCTACTCACACGGTACATGTTTTTGAACTGCTAGGTTGGCAGGAACTGGAGCTGACAAATGGGAGCCCACCTCATCTCATGGATCGATCTGCTGACCTTTAGGTTAGCAGTTCAGCCAACCTTCAGGTCAGCAGTTCAGCAGCACAATGGTTTAACCCATCGCGCCACACATGCAAAAATCCAAATAAATCAGTTGAACATAAATATATATCAGAGTCCAAAATGAACAAAAGCTAAGGTTAGAAATAATTCTCTAGGCTTAGGTTAAACTTGATTAAAGACTGGGGGGAAAAAACTGGAATAAGAATTTATAAATGGCAGAGGAGATAGCAAAGGATGAAGAAACATCTCTAGTGAACTAAAAAGTACCATAAAATAGAGCCAGTGTGCCTGAATTGACCTAAACTCTTACAAGGCCCTCCCTATGACTAAATGATTGATGACAATGGAGATTTTCAGTGACATCCACAGTGGCCTCTGTCATCTGGTTCAAACTCTTTAGATATCTTTGTTGACACTGAAGCTCTATCTAGGGAATATTACTCATAACAAAGGATAATTCATTTGGGAAAGTTCAGATCAGAATAATGGGATGTTATTCACAAAGTGAAAAGAAAAGAATTAAGCAATGAAGAACAAGATCTGAATCCTGTTGAGCATTGGTTATGCTGATAGTTGATCTAGTTAGAAACCCTCATGAAGACATATCCAATACCCCCTTATACAAGCGCAGACAGTTTGGCTTCCCTTTGTCATGATCCATAAGAGCCACCAGAACAGACTTGGAGTGGCTTCTGAAACTGTTGGGAAGATAACAACTCTCTGTGCGAAATGCCATTGCCTCCACATGTATATTGGCATAGCTTTATGTCTTGCCAGCTCTGAACTGTATCTTATCCACAGACTGGGACTAACGTGACTAAACAGCACAGATTTGCATTCTCCACAGATATGGCTTCTTGACCATCACAATTAAAAAAATATTTTGTAACAAATTTAATCAAAATTCTAAACAAAAGTTCCACTTCATTTCAAACCTTTTCTCCTAAAATTACTTTGATTGCTTATCTTATGACCAAATAGTTATATAATACAAAGTTAAAAATTTGATTGAGTGATCTTACTTATTGTGAGCATGATATTTGGAGCATGGAAAGGCTTTGGGGATATGAGAATGCAAATAGAAGAAAGCACATGGAAGCAAAATAAAACATTCAGCATTTCCCCCTTTGCTTTCTGGTGTTTACATGGAAATCATTTCTATTATGCTCCACAAATCCTTTCCTTGTGGGATTCTGATGGAACATCCACAGTGCTTATATGGATAGCAATTCATACAGACAGAAATCTCGTATGGATACATTTAATAGCTTTGAAAGCAGATCAAAGACGACTGCTCAGTAGATCTGGCTTGGCCTCAGACACAACTGAAGTAAATTAATTCTCACACATCTTTCATGAAGCAAAGTTTTGCTCAGGCCTGAGATTCCCAATATGTTTTCGACAGCTGGCTGAGTGGAAAATGTTGATTGAATGAAACTCTGCTGCAGTTTTAACATTTGCAAGATTGGAAGGATTTCTCCCCCTCAAGCATGGTCTGCTAGCCACAGTACAGAATGATTTATTTGGAAATGATATATTAAATGATTGCTGCCATCCAATAATGAAGATATGCCCAATCACAATGTAGTTTGATTTTCTGCCCAACTTGCTTTGATATGAGATGTAGGAAATTATATAGATTCTGGCAACAATCTCAGGCTCTGTAAAATAGTATAAATGTGTATTTCTCTGTATTTATAATGTCAGTTTGGATTACACCTACTGATTAAATACAAAGTTACTTAGAAATACATCCAGTGAAATCTAGGGTGCTGGGGTCTCCCTGAGAACATCTATGTAGGGTACAAGGCCAATCTTGTTTCATGTATTTTGTGTCTGTGTGTGGGGGGGTGGGGTGGTGGTGAAGATGCTCTGAGAACTTGTATCTCCTTGTCAGAGATTAGAAAAGTCACTTCTTTGACTACAATTCCAAAAAGTCTTCTATTGTTGTGGCTAGTATCCCAGTTAGCCATGCTGATTGTAAAATTTTGGGAAGTATCATCCAAAATTGAAGGTGAAAGAAGAAAGTGCAAAAGCTGGGTTGCAGTTAAACATCAAAAAAACCAAGATTATGGCAACCAGACTGATTGATAAGTGGCAAATAGAGGGAGAAAACATGGAGGCAGTGACAGACTTTGTATTTCTAGGTGCAAAGATCACTGCAGATGCAGACTGCAGCCAGGAAATCAGGATGCTTATTTCTTGGGAGGAGAGCAATGACCAATCTTGATAAAATAGTGAAGAGTAAAGACATCACACTGGCAATGAAGATCCCTATAGTTAACATAATGGTATTCTGTGTAGTAACCTATGGATGCGAGAGCTGGACCATAGGGAAGGCTGAGCAAAGGAAGATGGATACTTTTGAACTGTGGTGTTGGAGGAAAGTTCTAAGAGTGCCTTGGACTGCGGGAAGATCCAACCAGTCCATACTTCAGGAAATAAAGCCCGACTGCTCATTGGAGGGAAGGATATTAGAAGCAAAGATGAAGTATTGATGTGCCTTCTTCTTGGCACGCTTCTCCCTTTCGCCCTCCATTCATGCCTCTTCAAATTCTGCAGCACTGCTGGTCACAGCTGACCTCCAGCTGGAGCGGTCAAGGGCCAGGGCTTCCCAGTTCTCAGTGTCTATGCCAGAGTTTTTAAGGTTGGCTTTGAGCCCATCTTTAAATCTCTTTTCCTGTCCACCAACATTCCGTTTTCCATTCTTGAGTTCGGAGTAGAGCAACTGCTTTGGGAGACGGTGGTCAGGCATCTGGACAAAGTGGCCGGTCCAGCGGAGTTGATGGCGGAGGACTATCGCTTCAATGCTGGTGGTCTTTGCTTCTTCCAGCATGCTGACATTGGTCCGCCTGTCTTCCCAAGAGATTTGCAGGATTTTCCGGAGGCAGCGTGGATGGAATCGTTCCAGGAGTTGCATGTGACGTCTGTAGACAGTCCACATCTCACAGGCATATAGCAGGGTTGGGAGGACAATAGCTCTATAAACAAGCACCTGGTATCCCTACGGATGTCCCGGTCCTCAAACACCTCTGCTTCATTCGGAAAAATGCTGCGCTCGCAGAGCTCAGGCGGTGTTGTATTTCGGTGTTGATGATGACTTTGGTGGACAGGTGGCTGCCAAGGTAGTGGAAATGATCAACATTTTCTAATGTTACACCATTAAGCTGTATCACTGGCATTGGAGAGGGGTTGGCTGGTGTCTGCTGGAACAGCACCTTGGTTTTTTCAATGTTCAATGACAGGCCGAGCTTCTCATATGCTTCTGCAAAGGTGTTTAGAGTGGCTTGTAGATCTTCTGAATACAGTATGTAAGCAAAGGCATGTTCTAGCCTCAGTAGTGCGACCCTGAATTTTAGAGCATCATGTCAAGGCTATCAACAACTCATATCTGGAAAACAATATTGGTGCCTCCTGTTTCTGCATTGGAGGCATGCTGTATTGGCAATCGTTGGGAAAAATGGGCATTTAGCTCCTCCCCCAACAACAGGGATTAACATTGCACAGGGAAATTGGCCATTTTACCCATTTCTGTGTGGGGAATTGAAAAAGAATTTGATTGCCAATCGACGTAGGAATCATCGGAATACCCCACACTTTAGGAATGGTGAAATTCCTGGAACCCATGGTAAGAGCTTGCATCATGTGATGGGCTCCATTGGTTTTAGTTCCTTAAATGTGTAGAAACACTGATTTTTATTGAATGTGATGAAGTCATAGGAGCAATGAGTTCAAATTACAGGAAAGGAGATTGCACCTGAATGTTAGGAAAACCTTCCTGACCATAAGAACTGTTCAACAGTGGAACTCTCTGCCTTGGAATGTGGTGGAAGCTCTTTATTTGGAGGTTTTTTGATGAGGACTCTGAGCTGTTAGGCTCAAAAATAACTCCCAATTAAGGTAATTCCCCTAGAATATAGCAGAATGCCATTCAACATTTTACAAAAGGCAAAAAGTGAATTTCTCTTCCTAGAGATAGATTTCTCTCACTCCCTGTTGTCTTACCCCTGTTCCTAACTATGAGTCATTTGTGAGTCAAATGTTTGTAACTTGGGGGACTGCCTGTAGAACGTGCCACTGCTGGAAAATTATTCCAGATGTAGTAAGAAGTAAATGAAAGGGGGAAAGCTCAGCAAGTGGCAGATGCACATATAATAGTGGTAGTGATACTCCTATTTAAGACTATTGAAGACTTTTCATAATGAATAAATTCCCTTTATAGTAGAGCCCTGTGAATAAAGGATATGCACATGTCAAAGAAAAGGTTTTCAATTAGGATATTGGTCACATTCAAATTAATAAGCATTTCCTTTTAGACATAGAAAGGCAAGGATTTCATCCTAATGGGCCATAACTGCTTGTTATTATGTGAGTTATTCTTAATAATACATTTTTATTCACTCCCTCCCTCCTTGACTAGTGGAAAAATCCTGGACAATTTCCCCACAGAATTAGTTTCTATTTGAGTGCGAGCGCACTGAACACTTGCAATGTTTTTTGTAATAACTGATTGTGTACCCTTCAACATTTCAGAGATGAAAATGGGAAAATATGCAGCCAAGCAACCTAAGAGTATGAATGAAAATGTAAAAGTCATTAACGTGGAAGAACATACAAACTGGGAGATGTTGTTGCAGCTTGCTTGAGCTTATTGGGACTGGTAAGATTCTGCCTCTCTTATCCCCCCTCACCCCAGTTCCTATGTTGATTTACTAAAACTCATTTTGCACTTTGAATTTAGTCTGTACTAGTTAAAGTAAGCCATGGACAAAGGAGGGAAAAGTTGAAAATGAGAGAGAAACTCGGACATTTTAAAAGCAGCTCAAAAATGGGACGATTGAGATTTAATTAGAATAACTGGAAATATGTGATTGTTTAGAAAATATTGGTGGCTATAGAGATAAGTCCCAAACCCTGCAAATATTAAGGGAGCTGTTTTGAAGAGCAAGACAATATGAAACATAATGCTGTAAACATAAAAGCCTCTGGACAATATCACTGTTGTACTCCTGCTTTCATTAATGATTACCAAAATCTGTTTGTCCCTTAGGTAATATTGCTTCTTAATGGAGTTGTTCCTTAAACACAGTGGATTACGATGTATTATTTGATGTTAAGTACTGATAGTATTCATCTATGTGGAAAGGTAAGCCTCAAATCTGCTAAGATCTATACTGTACATTAGAAAAGCTATCTTCATTTCAACTGTGTTTTCTTCTCTTACTTCTTCTCTTCATTCAGTTTCATGTATTTTTCCTCCAGAATGATGGGTAATTTAGTAGACACAGTCATGCCTTCATTTATCCTACTGTGGTTGTTTTTCTGGGAATATGCTAGTTAGCAAACACATCTGGAGACACCCCCCCCCCTCAAAAAAAGAAGGGAATTGCAATATGTTGAACAAGATCTGATGTGGTAGTGTATTCTGACAAAGTCTAAGTGAAAAGCCAATGCAACTGCATAGAAACTCTAGGAGGAAGGGAATAGAAAAAGGAGTATGTATGTAGAATGGAAGGAAGGACAAATCACCAGGGATAAATATGTTGCTCAACCTGGCAGGAAAGCAAAAGAATGAGCTGAGACTGGTTAGGCAAGCAAGAAGCAACAAAAAGGATTTTTCAGATATATTTGATGCTGGAGAATAACGAAAGAGATAGCAGGACTGCCATTCAATAAGTATGGCAAAATGTTAAATGATTATAGTGAAAAAGCAGAATTACTCAATAACTATTTTTCTTCAGTTTTTCCTCAAAAGAAATGTGCTTCCATGCAAGAATAGACAGGGATCTGGATAGGAAATCAAGAACGATAAGGAGTCAATCTGGAATCACCTGGCTAATTAAACAAGTTCATATCGGCAGGGCCAGATGGACTGCATCCCAAATTACTGGGGGAACTTCCTGATATACTCTCTCACCCTTTTGCCATCATGTCTGAGAAATCTTGGAGAACAGCCAAGGTGCCAAAGGGCTGGAGAGGAACAAACATTATTCTTCTCTCTCTCTCAGAAATGTCAAAAATAAGACCCAGGAAATAACAAATCAATCAGTTCTCAGTACTAGGTAAAATTTCAGACTATATTATACAGGATTCTATATGTAAGTATCTAAATTACAATGCAGTGATCAGTAGGATCCAGCATGAGTCAGTCGAGAACAAATCTTTCCATAAAATTGTATTTCTTTTTTCAACCAGGTCACTAGTTTAGTAAATGATGGAAATGCTGTGGATGTCATTTACAGTGGAACCTTGACTTAGGAGTGTCACAACTGAAGAGTGTTTTGAGTTAAGAGACATTGCTTGGCCCGGTTTTGCTTTGACATACAGACAGCATTTTGAGTTAAGAGCTAGCATGAGAGAGGGAGTGCTAGAGTGAGAGTACACGGTTGTAGGGCTTCAAGGGAGCCTCATGCTTTTGTCCACTTTGGGAAATTGCTGTTTGCTTTTCTCTTGTCCACTTTGAGAAACTTTGGGTTAATTGATTTTGTGTGGCTTTTATTTCTGATATGTTTGGCTTCAGGAAGAGAGAGCGAGAGAGAGCAAGAGAGGGAGGGAGACTGGAATGAATGCAATATGAAGGGAGTAATGCTTCTGCTTCTTCACTTTGTGCTTTGTGCTTCCTTGCCACAACTTTGTGCTTCTACTATTTTAAAGTTGATAATTCTTTTTTTATTATTCCATGTGAATGTGTATTTAAACTGTTTATACATTATTTGTTATTTATAAAGTACATTTTCTTATTTAAAAATATGTAAGAAAAAGGGTGTGTGTTTTTCGGGGGGATGGAATGGATTAAAAGGGAAAATTCACTTTGAGATAAGTGTGATTTAAGAGCTCAGTCATAGAATGAATTAAACTTTAAACTCCAGGTATCACTGTATCTGGATTTCAGAAAAGAATTTGATAAGGTCCCCCAAAATATTTTGATTAGCACACTGATTCAGTGTAGAATAGGTGGGATCATTATTAGATTGATACATATCTGGATGCTCGAAGAATTGTCATTCATGGTTGAGCTACAAACTGGAAAGAGGTCTCAAGTGGAGTGCCTCAGAATTCTTTCCTAAAGCCATTTCTTTTCAACATTTTACTAATGGTTTATGTGACAGGGTGGAGAGAATCAGTATAAAGTTTGTAGCTGACACAAGAGTGGCGTGGCTAGCACATGGGGAGATAGAAACAACATCCAAAAGGACCTGGATAAACTAGGAAATTGGACAGAAATTAATAAAATGAGGCTCAATGGAGACAAATGCAAAATTCTACATTTAGATCACAAAAGCCAAATGCATAGATATAGGTTGGGAGACATATAGCTAAGCAATATTGCATGTGAAAAGGCCTTTGGGATTACTGATGATCATAAATTGAATATGAACAAGTGACAATGAAGTAATGAAAGCAAATATTATTTTAGCTTATATTAACAGAATTGTTAAAATTGTTGGTGGCGCAGTGGGTTAAATGACTGAGCTGCTGAACTTGCTGACCAAATGGTTGGCACTTAGAATCCAGGGAGTAGGATGAGTTCCCGCTGTTACACCCAGCTTCTGCCAACCTAGCAGTTAGAAAACATGCAAATGTGAGTAGATCAATAGGTTCTTGACAGGAAGGTAACAGTGCTCCATGCAGTCATGCTGGCCACATGACCTTATTTATTTATTTATTTCCAACATTTGTACCCTGCCCTTCTCAACCCCCGAAGGGGGACTCAGGGCAGCTTTAAACAGCAACAATTTGATGCCAACACATACAGAATACATGCACGATATATCAACATTACACATTCAATAAAACCATTAAGTTAAAATCCATTGTGAAAACATTAACAACCATTTAGCCAAATTCAATCCTTGGAGGTGTCTACGGACAATCCCGACTCTTTGGCTTAGAAATGGAGATAAGCACCACCCCCAGAGTCGGACACAACAGACTTAATGTCAGGGGTAATCTTTACCTTTACCAAACAGAATTGTTTCCAACAACCTCATCACACTCACCAAAAAAGTGTCCTAAGAATGCTTTCACCCTCTCTTCCAAACAGAACCCCACACTAGCCATCACACAATATTATATGACTTCTGGCAGAGGCTCTGCCCCCAACTGTGGTGAAAGCATTGCTGGAGGCTTCCTGTGTTGTGCTGGTTCCAATGGAGTCAGCACGGATCCGTCGCAAAAGGGTGTTGTTTCCTCTGTGTGATGGGGAAAGCACTGTTGAGAGGGAGCTGTGTGCAGGTGACAGGTTCGCCCTCCTTCCCCCTCTTTTCTCCTTTATGATGAGGTCCTATGTCAAGGGAAATAATAGTACCCCTAAATTCTGCGTCAGAGCAAATTCTGAGAAAGATTATAAGAGGTATGGAGAAGAAAATATATGAGGAAAAGGTAATGCAGCTTCATGAAGAGGAGACCGAGGGGGTATCATAATTGCACTCTTTAAATGCCTCAAGGACTGTCACAGGGAAGGAGGTTGTTCTCTGCTGTTCTAGAAGATAGGATCAGGTCTAATGATTTCAAATTATAAGAAAGTAGATATCTATTGGACATTATCAGGAACTTCTTGACAGTGAGAACAGTTCAGTAATAGATTAATTGCCTAGGGTGGTGGCGGCTCTCCTTCTCCGGACATCTTCAAAAAGAGGCTCTAGCCAGCATAGGCAATGGTGGATGATGGGAACTGCAGTCCAACAACAGTAGGATGAGTAAATATTGTCCATTCCTGGAGCAGAAAATACTGGATTTGATGTGCTGTGTCCAATATTTTTGTGTAAATTATGCCCCTATTTTCATTCTAAGTAGCATGAAATTGCATCCCTGGCACTAAACAAAGAAATCCAAACCTCAGATCATATCACACCCAGTCTTCTTTTGTTGTTGTTGCTGTTGATATTGTTACAAATAAGATAAGTTTAAAGGTGACTATGTCCAGCTCCTTTCTTGTTATGTTCTGTAACAAGAAAAGGACACCCATTCATTTCCATATTGACACAATTTCATGCTGTGGGAACAAGGAAACGCGAGAAAGAGAAAGAACCTAATTAAAGATAACAGAATGTGTTCTTATGGGAAATTACAAGAGCTTTCACAAAGGCTGCCCACCTCAGTTCTATCAATATTTACAGATAAGTATGATCTATCACAATGATTAGCAGAACATGTGCACATTAAATCCTTTTTATGTTGTTTGTTGTTGTTAAAGATCACTACGCACTCTAAAGTTGTGCTATGAAGATGAATCTATGACCTTTGCCCGTGAACTGAAAAGAAGCAAAGGGTTTTAGTATAGAAGGAAACCTAAGTCTTACACTCACACACACACATACACACACACACACAGATAAATGGACTACAAGTTTTTCTTATCAGAAACCCAACAGAAGTTGAACAGTTCTTCAGAATGAAAGGCCAGCACAATAAAAACTGTTTAAAGGACTGGGATGTTTAGCACAACTCTGCAGCTGTAATGCAGTGGGAGGCACTTCTGTTGACTCTCCATGTAGAACAGAGAATGCCACTTTAGATTCTCCAGTGAAAACCAAACTATTATATGTGCTGTCACAGCCTAAGTAAACTATATAAGATCAGACAATATGTCATGCCAGCCCAACTGACAGGAGAATATAAGGGATGAACTCTGAAACTCCGAAGTTATAAGAAATTATAGCAGTATGTAGAGATTGAAATTTGCAGGATGAAGGCTCTTTATTATTTTAAGAACTTCTGGTTTAACTTTCTTTCACATTCCTTTCCATTTTTTGCCCCTTTTACTAGAAAGGACTTTTGTTTAGTACCCATAGCAGTAAAAGATGATCCATGAAACAGGCTTGGATCTGATCCAGACGATTTTCATTGCTGACCTTCATTATACAGCAGGGATGGGAATTGTTTCATCTCAAGGCCATAGGTGGCCACTGGAGGCATTTAAAAATTTTGCAGCCTGCAGAAGTTATGTTTTGGCGAACTGTCAAATGAAAACACTGCAATATAGCACCTGCCCGCACCTGTGGTGGGAACATTGCTGCAGTGGTTTTCAAAGCTTCCTACTGCGAAAAGTGTGAGTTCTCCCCTTCTAGTATGCTCCAAATGTCCCAATGTCTTGAATAATCATCTGCTGCTCTTTTCCGCTGCTTTACAAAAGGTCCA